CCTTTTCTCTCGTGTCAGCCAAACTTATATTTGTTCACAGATACCTCTCTATCCAGGTGGGGGTGCAGTTCTGGACATCTGCACTCTTTCCAGGGTCTGGTTTCCATAGGAGTGGTTTCTCCATATCAATGTCCTTGAGATGATGGCTGCTCAATGAGATTGCTGTCATCTTCTGTCTAGCCTTCTTGTTACAATCCATTCAGACAACTCCACTGTTTTTTCTTACATCAATCAACAGGAAGATACTCACTCTTGGGACCTCTTCTTTTTGACATTTGATTTTCACTTTTGGACCCACAATCACCATTTTAGGTTGTCCGCTTGTCACGTCTTAGAAGCTTTGAACATGGTGGTAGATTGGTTGATTGTCTCACCTAAACTGGATCCTTACCATCGAGTGGTCTTTCTATCACCTGATGTTTCAGTGGATTTGTTCCCACTTTGCGAGTACTCTCATCAACTTTGGCAACTCTTTCTGAAATCCCAGTTTTTACTTTTATGTTCACCAATACAGGACTCTGCAGATCTTGCTGTGGATACTTTGAATAAAAGATTGGTCCTGTCTTTTTCTATATATTTGTCAACAACCTTCTCTCTCTTCCCCAACCAATTTTCTTTTCTTTCTTTGGCTCATACAGATCTATTCTGAGCCTTTCTCCTCAGTCGTCCTCCTCATCCAGTTTCTCTTCTTATTTATAACCTATGTTTAGTTTTCACTGTTCCATGTCCCCATTTGAACCTTTGGCCACTTCTACCATCATTCTTTAAAGACATGGTGTCTTCTTGTTTGTAGGAGATGTTGCTCTAACATTTTTGCTTTGGACATATTCACTCTTTACCACAGGTTCAGGTTGATTTTATTCCCATACCACTCCTTTCTCCAGAAAACCTGGGTTGCTTCTGAAAGTAATTGGACATTTTCTCCAATCGCCCTCCCTTCCCATTTTTCTCTGTGTGATCATTATGTTCTGTTCAGATTGTTATCTCACTCATACTGTTCCCTTTCAAGGCAGTGAACTTTTTTTCCCCCCCAGTGAGATTCCTTTTCCTCTTGGGACTTGGGTACTTTCTCTTTGACCGTTTAGGTTAAACAACTCATCTAGTTAACTCTCAGTATGGACTTGGTCAATTTGACCGACCACGCGATGTTGTACCCGAATAGTCTTTATAGATTTGATACTACTAACTTTTAGTATAATATATATATCTTCACTAAATTTGGCAGTCTTTTAGTTCATATTATAAGTTTTCAACATACAAAAAATCATATTTTTTAGTGAAGCATTTTTGATAAACTAAAAAAAGATTTTTTCTGTGAATATATTGAGTATTTGTTTTGAATAGTCAGTGTGCAAAGTGATTTTCATGTTATGATTAAAAATACTTTTCTTCATTTGTGTAATCTCTAAAACCTCCTAAATACATTTCAAATGTTTGTTTTCAGTAAAATTTATATTCTATCTGTTATTTTCTCGACCTAATTCTATACAGCATTGGTCAATTTGACCAACCTTGTAACCACCAAAAACAAATCTAAATAAATATAAATTACCATTTTTTTTCTTTCTAGAATGACTTCAAATGTAACATGTAACAGTATACATCCATTTATAATTAGATTTTATTGTTTTATTGCCCTTTGCACCCTGTCTAACTACTGTTCATGCCATTATAAGTTGTAAATCACTCAGGGAACATGCAGCTCACATTATGCTATCAAATTCCATTGACATAAGTAATAATAAAGTTATTTAATAAACTTTTGAAAACATCTCTAAAAGGTCATCGGAAAGGTCATGACATGCACTCTTTAACCTGCTAGCAGCCTATGGGTTAATATCAAAAGCAAGAAAATATGAAGTTTGTTATTGAAAATGAATTAAACTAACTTAAACTACCCTCTTTAGAGCCAATAATATAACTAAAATAATGGTTTTGTGATAGAGATGCTTTGTAAACCACAGTAGTTTGGACTAAATATGGATTTCAACAGCTTTGTAATGGAGTGTTCTAAAAAGTGACTAATGACAAAATAAGACATTTAAAAAGTCATATGTGAATGGAATGAATTTCCAAAATATTTAAATGATTAACTCAAGAAAAAATAAATAAATACTGTAATAAATATATAAATAAATACTGTAAAATGTGGCTAGCTATAACATTGTTCTTATTCTTTCTTATGTAGGAAAATCAGAAAGTTT